AGCCTCAGTCCACAGAGAAATGCACACAGCCTGTATTCAGAAACTGAGCCTTAAAACAAGCTGTCAGGAATTCTAGAACTTTGTGATGTCACAACAAAGCAGTAACCACTCTCAGCCACGCCCCAAGCCCCGCCCACCTGGACCCACCATTCAACCTTGCAGGATTTGGTTTCTCTGAGTGTTTACCTGAAACCTGCTATATCTTTATTTGATCACTCAGAAAACAGAGCCAATCAGAAGAGAGGCTCAGAGTCTCCTCTCTTCTGATTGGTTCACTGACCTGTTGTTACTAGAGCTCCAGAGAGAAGCCTGAGAGAGGAGATGTAAAACTACACTGAGATGGTTTTTGGTTCTTAAAACCACAAATATATCTTCTTATGATCACCACTTCAAATAAAACACAGAGAAGAAGAAAATATTGAGTTTTAAAGCTCGTTATAACCATTAAAAATGAAGATGACAAAGATTGTGAAAACTCTTTATGATGGTTGTTTTATTATCTAATAGTGTAATTATTAATGTTGGAACTTCATTGATAAAGAGAAATGAGTTTCTTACATTCTAATAAGCCATGAAGTCTTGAGTTATATAAGCTAATGAGTCAATAAAACAATCATTCATCAATTTCTTTTGATGAAGATCCTGATGTTAAATTTCACATTTTGTTATCTTTCTGAAACCATTTTAAACTTATCAGGTTGACCCATGCAGTGCAAGATCTACCATGTTGGTGTTCTTTAGTCCCATCACTTTGACTTGCAGGTTACAACATGTGTCTGTGTGCAGCAGTGCAGCAGGACTGACTGTCTGTCTGTGTGTGTGAGGGTAAAGTTTCCTTTTCGATGCACAAGACGATAAAAATCTACCATTCATATATTTCACTACTGCTGCTAAGTGGGTGATCTATCACGTCTGAGTTATGCAATACCACACACACGCACACACACGCACACACACACACACACACACACACACACACACACATACACACACACACACACAAACACACCAACAGAAATCATAACAGTGATGGTGATGCTGATGCAAGAGATAAAGGAGGAGTTCGTGTATCACAGCGTGGCAGCTCGGCTGACAGGCGGTGACAGCCAGAAGAGAGAGATTATTGGAGAACACACACACACACACACACACACACACACACACACACACACACACACACACATACAGGCACTCAGAAGGTTAGATATGTCTCCCAGCATAGAGATGTACTCTGCTGTAATCTCTTTGTATACAAGATACTCTTCGATGAATGGTTACAGGAGAGAGGGAATGTGTGTTATAGTGTATGGCGTACGTCCCAGTCTTCATTCTGGTAAATGTAGCCCTTTAATAGGCTTTTTATATGGGCTTAATATACTGTTAATGTGTCTGTTTAGTTCTATATTTGCCAGATCTTAAAGGATATGCCTTACTGTATGACACATTTTGTAATCATCTCTCCTCTCCTTACTGGGATGAATTTATTCCTTCCTTGTGATATTACACTATTAATATCTTTGTTTATGCAAAAAAAGAGTTTTAAACTTCAGCCAAAGTTAATGTAACACTTTAACACTTTCAGTCTCAATTCGTCAAATCAAGCTTGAGTAGGTATCTTTTTCACAGCGGCTGTCCAGTGGTTTATTGCTGCTTCACCATGTATCAGCAACAACAACAAAAAAAAAAAAACTGGGAAAACACAAATCTGTGCTAAGACTTTGGAATGAAAAGTCTGTAACTTTGGAAACCTCATAGCATCAACTGATGGAGAAGACTTTAAATTTGTTGGTCAGTAGTTTTTCTTGAATGTAGCCAAATAGAGCAGATTGTATTAACACCTGCCTGAGAGCCATTTACAGTACAAGCCAGCCCAACCACAGATGTCCTCTGGCCATGCAGTCCAATAGCACAGTGGCTGAGAATGTGTTGTACATTTACATCACAACTTGATATGTGTTTTACTTAATCTATGTAAGATACATATTTAATTATTACTGTTATTATTATATTCATATTATTATTAATAATAAATCCTTTATTTAAACAGGTCGTCTCATTGAGATTGGGATCTCCTTTTCAAGAGAGACCTGCATACAAAAATAGACATATACAATTTATATGCATATATAATACTGCATTTCTGTCCACAATGGATCATGTGTGACTCTTAAGAACTTTTAAGTTTAAGAATAGTTTGACATTCTTCTTATGAGAGTTAGATGGGAGGATCAATGCCACTCTCATGTCTGTGGAATCAGGAGCTGGTTAACCTAGCTTAGCATAAAGACCACACACTGTCTTCATGCTAAAATCATTCAGTCTCAACGACTTTTGGACCCACAAGTATCAAGAGCCACAGTATAGATCTTCTTTTATGTGACCACATGATACTAGTCACAGCTCTGTGTTCAGCAGTGTTGGTCATTTCAATTGAACTGAATATCTTGAGAAGTAAATTGGAATCCAAGTGTCAATATTAAATTCATATGTTTAAAATAACACTTTTTTGTCCTTATTCAAGTTCATCAAAGAGTGGAGTTCTCCATGGTTCACTACTGGGGCCACTACTGTTTTCCATGAATGCCACCAGTTCCCATTATATTCAGACACAATACTGGTTTTAACTTTTATGCAGCTGAAACACATTTTAGTATCCAGACATTTGAGCCCATACATGACAAATTAAATATGACAGAGCATATTACTGTGGTTTTATAGATCTGTCATTTTCAAGTGAATTGTCAAAGATTAAAAAAAATTTCAGGAAACTACAAACTGTTACACACGCAATTGTCATATGTTCTCTCGCTGTACAGCTGAACCAACCCAAATTGTCCACACACTTCAGTTCATATAAAACCACATGTTGTAGTTACAAAATTATATTAGCACATTTTAAAGCACTGCTGGGATTGGGCCCTAAATATACTTCTGATTTAGTAGTAGTTGTAGTACTAGAAGCAGTATAAGTATTTGTATACTTTTATGGCCATATAAAGCTGTCTTGTACATATGTACTTATCGGTTGCATATTGTTGATATATACAGAATTATTTCAACATGCAATATATTCTGTTTTGGGATACCAAATTATAGACACAAGAAAACAGAAATCACACATGTCAGTCAGTGAGATGTGACTCATCAGAGGGCTCATATGCAAGGGTTTATCTCTCTCTCTACTCATAGGAGTGAAATTACTTTTGCTGACAGTTACCTAGTATGTTGACTTAATCACACTTTGCAACATTAATATGCAACCATCATAAGATACAGTGAATAGGCCTCCCAGTTCCAGGATCCCATGTGATTTGCTGAGCTGTGCAATGTTTAAATGCAGCGGAGCTGAAGAAGAGCAAAATCTCCTCTGTTTAAAAAAGAAAATCAGAGTACACCAATGAGGGTTCAGCCTATTAAAGTTGTGTTGATTTCAACTTATAAAATCCACTTGCCGCCTCTTCACTAAACACAGTGTTGTATTCATTTTTGAATTATCCTCAGGTTTACCCAACAATAACTGATGGAGCAGCTTCTGGGCAGTGTAGCTTTCTGTAGATTTCATTTAACATTCAACATATGAAACTATGTTTCAAGACCAAACATTGTTTTATTCATAGATCTTGTAGAGCTCACAGTGTTAATAATATCAGCTAACTGGGTGTTTCTTTTTCTCTAAATCTTCGGGTTGCAGAGAGCAAGTTTTTTATTAAATTATTAGTATTATTATTATTACTAATAATTATAATAATAATTATTGTTATTATTATTATAAAAAGGCTATTGTTTTGTTATTGTTATTATTATTATTATTATTATGTGCTAGAAGTAAAGCAATCAGCCATAACACTGTCTTGAATTTGCAGTGAAAAAACAAGTAATTTTTTGACTTGCTCTCTCGCCCTCCCTCATACACACACACACACACACACACACACACACACACACACACACACACACACACACACACACAAACACCATGCCTGTCAGAGTGAGCCAGTCATCCTGTAATGGCTGCCACTGCTCATTGTTCACATCCTGCTTTGTCTTCAGCGCCATTTTGACTCTATGGGAGGAGGTGAAACTGGTTAGCATCACATCCACACACACACACACACACACACACACACTAAAGGCACCTAAATAACTGTTAGCTCCACATTCACCACTCAAAATGGGAGAGAATTAGCAATGCTAAGCTACAGTGAACTCACATATCACCAACAGAAGGTGAGTTATGTCACACTGTGGTTATAGCAATGGATCTTACAAACCCAATAAATGGCTGCATTGTAGTGCATCATTTGAAGGCTGAGCAATGCTAACCATTAGCCCCTCAGAGGCAGACCATGCTATGCTAATGTGTGACAGAGGAAAACAGATCCGGCTGTGTGCTCAGACTGTTTTTCCTCTTTTTTATCAGCTCATTCTTTCTCAAAGTCGGGGTTATCTCAGTGTAAACACACACAAGTCATGCCATACAGGGCCATACAGGGCCATACCAGGCTATATGTTTATTCTTTGTAGTGTGGGAAAACTAGATGGGGCCAACAATTTTAACCTGAAATCTGCATTCAGTCCAAATTATTAAAAGATATTGACAGAAGAAATTCATTAATAAAAATGACAATTCAATTATTACAAAATGTATCTTAATTATATATATAGTAATCGAATCTTAGATGTATAATTTATATAGGTATATAGTGTGTTGTGTGTGTTGTAGTGTGTATTGAGTATAATTTTATAGTATCATCACACTATCAATATATTATTAATTATATATAATATATGTTGTTGTGTGTGTGTGTGCTGTGTGTGTGTGTGTGTGTGTGTGTGGTGTGTATATATATAGTATATATATAATTAATACTATATGTGTATATATATGTATATATATACTCCAGCACTCCATTAATAATGTTATGATTATTCCATAAAAGAAAAGAACATTAACCACATCATAAATGTTTGTATGTTTTATTATTATTATAATTCCACTATGAAAATATATATACAATAAATAATTTGGATTTTCACTATTAAAGAATCTCAATAAATAAACTAGGGTCTAAAACTCGGGTCATCAGCAGGGCTTCCCTCCCCTCTTGTCTCGTTCAGAGAGAGAATGAACTCATTCTTCAGATTATATTTTTCTAAAAGCAGTCCGGCTGTCTGCACCTATAGACTCCGTGAACAGTTCCTGAGAAGTTAAGGATCCATGAAGCTGCACCAGAATGGACTAAAGGAAATAAATCCACACATACTGATAACGGTTAATCATTTGAACAAAAAATTACCAGAAACAAGAAAAGGCAATAAATACCTGCAATTTGGACAAGAGGGAGAAAAAATCCACAACGTTTCGATGGTGAAAAAACTATTTCCCTCCGATGTTTAAAATAAAAATAAAAAAAAAACATAAAATTAACTGCATCTCTCTTAATCTACATTATATCCGCAAAATAAAACCAGCAAGAAGACGAAAAGTATATTTGAAAACGAACATAATTTTCATTCAGAAATGTTTCAGGAATGTTGCCGAGAAGCTTTTACTCTTTTCAAACAACTGAGTCTTCTCCGAGTCCGTTCTCCTCCGCCGATTGTTCATCCACAGGCCTGTCCGTCCCTCCGCTCCTTCACTCGGGTTTATTTTTAAAACGCCGCCCTCAGAAGTTGAGGTGCTGCAGGTCTATGGTGCACAGTGTGCTTGTGAACAGGTCGAAGTCCTCCTCAGAGAAATCCACCGGGCTATCCAGGGAGCTCTGCAGGCTGGGCGACAGGCAGGCGTCCCCGGCAAAGAAGGTCAAGTCGGGGAGCGCGACTGAGGACGAGGCAGCAGGGGTGTGAACTGTGGAGCCGGTGGAGGGGATGGAGATGTCTCGCTGCTCGGGGAAAGACGAATCGGGCCCTAATGCTGCTGCTGCTGCTGCTGCGAGCCCGGCCTCGCTCAGCTTCACCAAGCCCGGGTTGCTGTCGGTGGAGTTCGTGGCGGTGAAGGACGGCGGGGAATGGTGGGTCGCAGCAACGTCAGGGGAGCCAGAGTCTCCCGGCAGCAGTGGGCGGCTCAAACGCCCTACCTCCTCCGGCGTGGGCTGTGCATTGTCCCCGCTGTCACTGGCGTAGGCGGTGGCAGCTGCAGCCGAAGATGGATCACCGCTCCCCGTCTCAGCCTTCAGTGTAGCCTCCCCAGTGCCGGATGCCTCCAGCGGCTGGCTGGAGTAGGGGGATGAGGCATCGGCGCCTTCGAGCGGCTCAAACCCGCCCGGGTCGCTGGATTCGTGGCTCCCTCCTCCTCCGCCGTCTCTGTGGTGAGTGGTCTGCCGCTTGTGTTTCATCCGCCGGTTCTGGAACCAAACTTTGACCTGTCGCTCGGTCAGATCCAAAAGGGCGGCGATCTCCACCCTCCTGGGCCGGCACAGGTACTTGTTGAAGTGGAACTCCTTTTCCAGCTCCAGCAGCTGCGTGTTGGTGTACGCGGTGCGCAGCCGGCGGGACCCGGCTCCTCCACCATCCAGAGCCGCCTGGCCCGGGTCTGCAGGGAGACATAGACAAATTAAAGAAGGAGACGAAGAAAACATATGCGGAGGATTTATTGCGTTACATCTTAAGCTATTCTCCTTTTTAATTTTATTTTCATATTTCGTTTTAATTTCAAATTGTAATCTGCTTCATGAAAAACATGTATAACCTCTATAAATTTATGGCGTGCCAGATTTCAAGACAAGAAATGAGCTGCGGCAGCATCGAGCTCAAATCCCCTCGGCCCTTCTCTCTATAATAAAACTATAATAAATAACAAAACACAAAACAGTCTCATAAAAATACTCCTTCCAATTACAGTGGCAGTCAGACGTATGGCTGTAAAATGGTGAAAGAGAAAAGCCAAAGAAAGCGCAGATAAAGACAGATGATCATAATGTCAGAATGGGTTTTCCTCCTCTGTAAAGTGCAGCGAGCACCGTGAGAGGCTGTAGCGTGATCACAGAAATGCAGGAGGAAAATAAATACATCATGGGGAAAGGAGGAAATGTGCGAGGAAATGTGGGAATATCGATGTGAAACGAATGTGGCGGATTCTGTCAGAAACACAAATAAGAGCATGAGTGACTTTATGAATGAGATCAGAAAAGGCAGGAAATTGGGGCAAGAAAGGGAAAAGGAGAAAACAAGAATTTTAATTAGAAATGAATGTGTGTGTGTGTGTGTGTGGGGGGGGGGGGGGTAGAAAATAAGAGGGAAAAAAATACAAAAAATAATGTTGCTGTGAAGGTGAGTGTAAAATACAGAAATGAGCTAAACCTCTGGAAAATCAGATTGTGTGTGTGTGTGTGTGTGTGTGCTGAGTGTGGCTGTAGCTTATAGCCTGTACCCCCAACCCCCACCTCCATGTCCGTTAGCTTTGCCTCGCCATTATATTTCCTACCTCAATCCAATATGGCCACCATCTCAGTTGTGCTATGAATATATAATTTGAAGGCGATGCTGCTGCTGCTGCTGCTGCTGCTGCTGATCTGAAATCACAGCAGCCAGTGAACAGATTGATCCCGCTGCAGCTGCAGTCATGATCAACAAAAACACGGCCTGCGCATCTCTAAGCACAAAGAATAATAACTCTATATGGACGCAAAGCATTTAGGGAGTTGAAGCTGCAGATGGTGGAGCAATAAGAGGATGCTGCTGTGAAAGGTTTGCACTCACAGTAAAGCTGACACACACATGTTCTGATCCAGAGATAATGTGTTAATGGTGCATATTTAAATGCGTGATGGGAGAGTGTGCAAAGCACTGCAGCATAATGCAGGGGTCTAGATATGGCTTCCCTGTTGACACAGCATCACGGCACTGCACGGTACACACATACACGCACACACACACGCACAAATAGACATACACACACACTGGGGAAGAAAAAGGCAATGTCATCTCACCCATCCATGCTGCATGGAATGAATGTTTCTGAAGTGGATGTGAAATGAAGATGCAAACAGAAAAACAAAGCACAGGCTGCACCCCTACCCCCCCCCCCCCCCCCCCCCCCCCCCCCCTCGCACTCCCGCCACACATGCACATCCCAGCAGATACCGACCTGTGGGTGACTCGATGCCCGCCGAAGCGTACCCAGAGGCGGTCGGCGACGGGGAGGACGAGGCGGGGGGGATGATGGATCCGCTACCGCTGGAGCTGCCCCCGGGCTTGGGGCACTTCTTGGATGACTTCTTCTCCTTCATCCAGGGGAACTCGTGGGCAAGCGGACCGGCCGGGGTCGCCGTGACCGAGGCAGGGGCCTGGCCTGGCGGTCCGGGCTGCTGGGCGCCTCGGTGGTGCGTCTGGAGGCCATTACTGGCGGAGGTTCTCCGGTTCTGCTGGCTCCTAGCAGCCGGTCTCGGCTGGCTGGCTGTGCAGGGGCTGAGGCTGGGGATGGTGTGCTCGAAGGGAGGCGGAATTACTGTCGACTCCTTGATTGATGAAGTTTGAAATGACTCCAGGGCGGCGGGGAAGGACGTCAGGCACTCTGCTAGGGATGGCTGGCTGTTTATAAAACCGATCTCCCTTTCAAATTCAAAATTCATAGCTCCCTCAAACCGGTTTCACCCTCAAACGGCGAGACCCCCGAACAATCCCTTCCCCCCCAAGAAAAAAAAAAAAGAAAACACACAAAACACAAAACAAAACACATATACACACACACCACACACGCACACAACACAATATGGCCTCTTCAAAAAATTAAAACGAAATGAAAAAACGCACGATCATATAAGCTCCCGACCGCAATGGCGTAAATGCGGCGGCTATAATAATTGTGTATATTGGTGATATTACTAGCGTATGGGGACCTGGGTAAGCTAAACTGAAGAACTATGGGACGAAATTGCAGCCAATTCCTGGTCATGTGAGCCAAAACAGCCAATAGGCGCCGGGGCCTGGCGGCAGCGACGGCTGTGGGAAGCAGCATTATTATTTTTCCACCAAATGCTGTGGCAAAGAGAGGCGATATCACATGATAGCCGCTATTGTTTTGTCTTAACGGGGGGTAAATTCTGGGGAGAAAAAAAAAAAACAAAAAAAAAAAACGTGAAGGCGGCCGGTCGCCATGTGCGCCGTGTGGGCGGCGGGGTCCAGCGCATCCCGTGCCCGCAAACAATAGAGCAGCTCGGTAACATTTCTTCGATCCTCTGGGCGATGTAATGACGGTTAACACTCGGCCAGCTCTCTGTTTGCAATATGGCTCCTTCAGAGAGAGGAAAAAAAAAAATGTTTACAGCACTCAGCTCATTAATCTTATAAAGTGTGACAGAGGCTGAAAATCCCCAACTTACACACATAAAAGAAGGAGAGGCTTTTTTTTTTTTAGATTTAGACCGCGCAGCAGCTCAGGAGGAGGATGATGAAGATGTTTTACTCAGCCGTGGTGAAGATGAGGCAGATTGGCTTCAAACAGAGCAGAGACAGAAAGTTAGATTTGACTGTGGGGAGATGAGACGACAGGCAGAGACAGGCAGCCTGTGCGTGTGTAAGTGCACTTCTTTATTTCATAGACTTTTTCTCGTTTTTAATTATTCCACTGCAAAAAAAAAATAGGTTGTTGGACTTTTGGAGTGTGTGTTTTCTAAAGAAGGAGAGAAAGCAAAAAATATTCTCAATATTATTTCAACCTAAAATAGTCTCGCTGCAAAATTCTTCTAGGAAGCTACCATGCCCCCCCCCCCCCCCCATTCTCTAGCTTGTGTGTGTTCAAAATGTGTGAGAGTTCACAGCGAGGTCGCTCCACGATACTAAAGGAGGCCAAACGTGTTCCTCCTAACAGTAAAATAATAATCCAGCTGCAGTGCAGTGAGTGCTAACAGTGAGTGAGGAGGCCCTCACACTCTAACACACACACATGTAGATATTTTATAAAGATCAGGACCTCGAGAGTTTAGCAGAGGATATTTTTGGGGAGGGCCCGTGGAACCCCGAGTGAAAAAAAAGAAGTGCGGTGATCAATCTTTCTCTCCCTGCAAAGAGGCTGACAGCAGCTCCGCTCTCTCCCCGCATAACAAGCAGAGCTCCAGCCTCTGTCTCTCTCCTGGAGCTCCGCTCTTTGCCTTGTTTGATTATTTTCACACCACTTTATGCGCATCTAATCCGCGCACATGAAAACGTCACAGAAATATTTTATCTATTAAAAGAAACAGCTACCAGGCTCAAACGGGTAGAGCCTCTCTCTCGCTCGCACATCGTTCCCAGGCCGTTTGACTCTAAAAAAAAAAAAAAAGGGGCCAGAGAAAAGGCAGGAACGTGTGTGGGAGTGAAGGCCATTCAGCGCAGTAGAAAGCGCAGGCAGTGAGTAGGCCGAGGCTGAACACTGAACTGAACACACAGCACACACACACACACACACACAGACACACACCACAAGCAAGCTGATAACGGCTGCACCGCTCTGGTTATTTTTTAGAATCTCATTTTAATAACATCGACGATTTTTAAAAATACTTTTTAAAAATTTTTTATTTTCTTTGTAAAATCTTACTGGGAGTTCCGGAGAGAAGAAACATGTTTTGTCGTCAACACAAGGGAAGCGCGGATTGTCCACTGAAGATAGAACTTTGTATGACTCATCTCATCTCATTCTATTTGTTTTATTCTAATTTATTTTATTCTATTTAGAATCAATACTTTTGTTTTGGTTTAGGCTTCTGATAATGGCCATTTATTTATTCTAGGCTATTTTATTTTTTCATATTTTAGCAACTAAATATAATCTCAATTTAAATCGTAATTAAAAACAATTAATATTTGAAATGTTGAATGGTCTACGACCTGTTTCCAATAAAATACATGAAAAACCTTCAGATGTTCAATAATAATTTATTAATTTGCAGACGTCATTCTGCTTCATCTAGAAATTATGGATTTTTGCATTACAACAAAAAACCTACTACTACTATTATTATTATTACTACTATTATTATAATCTTTTATTTTTATATATTTAAGTGAAATTGATGCTGAATGCTAAAAGACATCTAACCATTTATTAACAGCTTCCTCTGTCTAACGATAACTGCACATCAAACCCTTAAAATCTTATGAAATTACAGTTTTCTATTTGAACATAATTTGGATCAGTCCATCGACTGTGTGTGTGTTTGCGTGTGTGTGCGGGCGTACGTGCGTACGTGCGTGTGCGTGATCCTGGTGTACACTCAGAGCTGGACTGTTTTCAGCTGCGCCTGTGTTGCTGAAGCCGAGCCGAGCTCTTCGTCTGTTTTTATGAGGCAATAAATTAGATCCAATCTCTGCTTATTGGTGTTTTTATTGTCTGTTAGTCCAACGGAGATGTAAAGGGAAGTAAGGCCATTATTTATGGGAGCCTGATTTATGTTCCAAGTTTTAAGCTGCTCTCAGGCCTTTGAGCACACGCCGCGTGCAAGAGAGAGAGAGAGACAGAGAGAGAGAGCGAGAGAGAGCGAGAGAGCGAGAGAGGTGAGGGGTGGGGGTTAGAGACCACGTGACCAGACCAAGGCGCAGGCCTTGGGGCTTTTTTTTTTTTTTTGGTCATAAACATGAAGACAGGAAAACTAGCAGGAGGATCAGCCTGTGTGTGTCTGTGTGTGTCTGTAACTCGGGTTCAGTTGGGGTCACAGGTGGATTATTTGGGGTCTCCTGTTCTCCACTGAAACAAGTGTTAGTTGACTTTTTCATGAAAAATAAAAGTAAAAAAAAAACTGGATTCACTCCAGGAACAATCAGCAGTCAATTATTAAAAACAATGATCAAAACTGTGAATTTTTAAATATTCAAATCAGGGATGACCTGAAGAGTGAAAAAGGTCAACATGCTCCAGAGATGAAATCTGTTGAGGAAATGACTGTCAACTCCACAACTTCAATCATCTGCTGGACCGTCTGACTTCATTCACTAAAAGCTAACTCAAAAAACAAAAAAATGGACAAATAATAATAATGATAATGAATAAAAAAACACCATTTCCAGAGTAGCTAAAACGAGCCTGTTGTAACACCAACCGTCATTCTGAGAGCTAAACTCTGAATTCATCAGGGATCCTGAGGAATGCTCGTGCAGAGGAACAGATTTTTCTCATGTGAAACATCAAGTTCAGAGGTCAGATCGGGTTTCAGCGTGTTGCTCAAAGACACTTCAGCAGCATGTGAGTTGCTTGTTTGAGGTTGTTGAACCCAGGTCACCTTGCTGCCAAATAACTGGTAGCTTTAACATGAAAACAAATTGCTTTTATTATATTCAATTTGCCACCTATACGTTCTACATTTTCCCCTGCTGTGTTTTATTTTTGCAGAGAAATTGGCCCCTAGTTATCACAGCTGAAAACATCTGTCAGATTCAGTTGGGTGAGGGCAGATTCGACTGATATCAACACTGAGTTTGAGATTTTTGGTTTGTTGTCTGACAAAAGCCACAGAGCTGAAGCGGTCTGGCACCGTCCTAACAGTGAAAAAGAAAAAAATTCAAGTGGCGACAGTCGTATCTTTGGCTTCAGGTATAGGTTTTATTCTTGGATGTAACCTTAGACTTTAGCTGGGATGCAGCCCAATATTTGACATTAGCATCATTGGATTCTTGGTGCTGGTATTGGTATGGTAAATGAACACCAGCAGCCAGCTAACAGCAGCATAATAGGCTGTGACTAGTACATTTGCCAAGTACAACAACGAAGGACCCACCTTCATTCTGTTTAGTTTGTAAAGCGAAGAGGAGACAGGACCAGATTTAAAGTTTCCCTACAGGCAAAAGAAGTTTCTTTTTAATGGCTGACATGTTACACGCAGCTCTGGGCTTGTCATTTAATAATTGTTTTCTGACAGTGATGCTTTTAGCCTCAGGTATCAACTGGATATTCAATACTGGCATCAGAGTCAGTTCATCCCTGAACCAGAGACCTGCTGCTTTAAAAGAGTCAGACCTGCACCAGGTCTGGGATTCATGAGCAGCATGTTGTTGCCTCATGCTGGAGTAAAGATGATGTGATTTAACTTTGAGGCGTCGCACACAAAAAATATTTGCACAAGATTCAACTGTTACTGATACTTTTAAAGGAGCTATATTTAAGTTTTGCTCCTGCTACATAGCTAACATTAGCATTAGCAGCTCTTTACTTGCCAGTCTCGCCAAAAGCTTCAACCACCATTGCATTTACAATACAAGAGGTTATAATAGCCTATGTAGTTTGAGCAGCATTACTTCTTCAGGGCAACCTGGAGGTGGCAGTGACTCGGTATCGGAAAGTGATGAGCCGGTCTGACCGCGCTGGAGCTATCTGGTTGGCATGCTAACTTCAGTAGAAGAAAAATTATAGAAATACAATCAAAATGAGTGAGACAGCTCTTGATGTTGAACATTTCTTTTAAACTGCTGTTAATGCTATCGTTGGTTATGTAGTAATAGCAAAAACTTTAAAGGACCTTTAAAGGATTTAGGTAGAATAACTGATGTCTTGTATCTTCAAAATATCAGTTTCACTTTTAAGAAAAAGCAGTTTTGTTTTGGACTGAATGTTGAGGTTACCAAGTTGATTTTAAAGGGCTAGTCGCACTATTTTAGAAGAATATGTTAAAGTTGATAATCAAAAAAAATATTTTTCACCATAGAACTTGACTTAATTTAAAAGATGAGCGTGAAGTAATTTGCTTATTTTCATAGCCTACTTTATGATTTTTGCTCCAGCTCCAGGAAGTCAGGAGTCAGCAGTGCAAAGGGTTGTTTGTATGTTGCCATAACAACCAATACCACTGGTGTCAGCAAGTTTTCACCTGACAGTGACTTAGCCTAAGGTTTTGTGGGTACAATTATTAACCAAGCAACGCGGGTTGAAATCTTCACAAAACTGACCATAGCTCTGAATAACATAACCTTTTATTAAAGAATTGTTTGACAGACAACTCTCTCAACAATCAAAGAAAAGGGAGCTACAAATGACAAAGAAAGAAGTTGTTCTTCTCCAAAAAGACTCGTTCTTTTTTCCAGCTAATAGTTTGTCTAACTTTTCTGACTATGGCAGGGCGGGTCACCAATCCCCACCCTTGCCTTTTTCCTTGTACAAGCCAAGACATTTATGTACAAGGGTCATTATAGGAACATAAAAACTACTTATTTTCTTCTAAAATACAAGAACTAAAAAATTTAACTTCAGTACAATGGACAAGAAGAAACACAACGTTGTTTTTTTTTTTTCTTTCATAACAGGTAAATACTAAAAAAGTACAGTATTTTTTCTTGATATAAATACATGAAGGATAAATAATAATACAAAACAGAAAGTCTTTTTTAAACTGGCTATAACAAATAAATATTTAGATATGAATGTTCACTTGAACACACATTGACGAAAGACGCTTTGATTGGAGGGCCTTCCGTCTTCAAAATAAGATTTTATTATTATTATTTTTTACCTTTAACCATCAAAATGTAAACTCTAAGTGCAACAATGATGCCCAGATGTGAAAAGCATGTGTATGAATCTGCATTTTAAAAACCACTGGTTTACTGTCAGAGCATCAGTGAGTGTAAGGGTTTTGGTGAGTGTTGTCCCCAAACTGCTCTCACTGACTGTTCAGACACAATAAACCCAGTGGTTTTAAAAATGTGGGATGCACACCAGCTCAGATTTCTGGGACATGCATTTTTGTTCAAATATATACCCTGTATCCACGTTAAAAGTCAAGATATGTGAGAACAAAACAAAATATAAAATGTGGACTTTAACGCATTGGTGTGGCGCTAATGTAAGTGAACCCTTCCAAAAAGAGAGGGAGAGAGAGAGAGAGAGAGAGAGAGAGAGAGAGAGAGAGAGAGAGAGAGAGAGAGAGAGAGAGAGAGGAGAGAGAGAGAGAGAGAGAGAGGAGGGCAATGACTTACCCAAACATAAATAAATAAGTGTTCTCCACTCTTATTATTTACCCTGTGTCGATGATGTGCTAAAATAAGAACATTAAAGATTTCTCTTCCATGTTTGTTTGAAGATGTCAACAGCTGGAACAACCCGGCTGTGGATGTGTGTCAACGAAAGGAAGCTAGCTTAGCGTTGCTGTGTGTGTGTGTGTGTGTGTGTGTGTGTGTGTGTGTGTGTGTGTATGTGTGTATGAAGGTGTGATTAGCTAACGTAGCCTAACACACGTGTGTGTCTATGGGAGCTAGTTTAGCATCTGAGCTCGTAGCTTCATAAACCCTGTTAGAGTAATGGGAATGGTGGTGAGTGCATGTGCATGGATGATGGATGTATGTGTGTGTGTGTGTGTGCGTGTGTGTGTGTGTGTGTGTGTGTGTGTGGGGTGGGGTGGGGGTGGGGGCAGTGGGAGGTGGTGGAAAAGTTTAGCCTCCTTCAGAAGCTGTGTGCTGCTGCCACAGACAGGAGACAGTGGGTTACTTGTGATTCGGTTTGGACGGACAGAGACAGGTACGACAGGAGACAAAACGAGACAGTGAGGGGACAACCATCCGGGGGTTTTTATGTACTTTGTGGAAAACTGGGTGGGGGGTGGGGTGGGGTGGGGGGGGGGGTAGTAGAAGAGGAGTGCTGCCAGCTCTAGCCATATATTCCTGTTCTTCCTCCCCAGCTGATGAAGGGGCAGAGCCCTCCACATAGCTCAGCCCGGCTGACAACAGCATGTGTTGCCTGGAGGGGAGAGAGCTCAGTGTCATAAATCTAACCACCTCGTTAACTGCCCATTAAAATCTCAACTATTTCATTTACCAGGCGGGAGAGCTGTCTGTGTATGTGTGTGTCTTAGGGGGTGATTTTATTATCAAAGTACAATTTTAAACCACATACTAGCTCTAACAGAGCTATTATAGGCTTTTCTTTTTACTACATACTATCTGAACTACTACTGCACTCTCCTCCGTCTGAGCAAGAGTTGTTTGGAAAAGTCCAGTAATACATGGAGGGAGGATTTTATCACCGGTAGACAATTATGCTTAATTCATTTGCTGAGTAATTTATATATTCCTTTTATTTTTTATCTTTTTTTGGAGACATATTTTAATGAACATCAGCTTTGTTTAGTTGATTCTGCAATTTTAAGATCGAGTGTGCAGCAGATTATTAGACGAATGAATACTGACCAAACAGTGGTGCTCACCGTACATGTTGCCATGCCACACAGCTGCCGATATGTCTCTGCACTAATGCCACAAGAGGAGCTTTATTGTTCCCAGGGGAGCGTGGTGGACAATCGACTGTCCACCTTGTCTCCCATGTCTACAGTAGGATTCACCACCCTGGGACCATTAACACTCAGGAGTAGAATGTGAATATCCGTAAAAGGGTTCATCTTAAAATTTGTAAACATTGGTAAAATGAACGAAGATTTCTGTTTTTCTGAAATGAATGAAAAGTGATAATACACTGTTAAATTAAACAATTTTCTTTCCTCACGTCCTGTATGAGGATGTGAAGATAAAACAGGAGAGGGAAGTTAGTGAGTTTGGTCCAAGACTAAAACATTTTTTGAAAGTTTTAGCAGCTACAAGTGATTTAACTGCTTTTAAATTGCAGGATGTGTATTTTATCTTTTTTTTGTGTTTTTGGTGACGTAATTAATGGTTCATGGTTGGGCTGCACTGCTGCTACTAACTTACAGACACAACCTCTGTTTGGTTGAAATGAAATTAACTGCACTTTCAAGGTACCAGTGGAAGCTCTGGACCTGATCAGACTGGCGAGGGCAGTGGAAACAGGGTGGGGCTGGGCAACACATAACACTGATTTGTGAGTGTAGAGCACAGGACAAACCACAGGATGGCTCCTGCCTGTCTCGTTTTGTCTCTCCTGCCGTCCCTTTGCAGCAGTAGCGGTGGAGTCCACACATCTTAGCTAGTCTGTTAGTGAGTCGCGTCATGTTACTTGTTCTGTGTCGTCTTCACTATGTTCTACGTTGTCATTTTGTTCCAAACCTGCTACAGGTGAGTGAGCTTGGGTGCTTCCTGGATTCTGCCCTGAGTCGAGGTGTGGTGCGCTGACAGCTCAGTGTACGTCGGGTGTGTGGGCGGGTCACAGGTACCTGGGGGGCCCCCTCCACCCACATGGTGCTGGTTGGCGGCCGACATGGGCCCTGCGCCATTGTAGTCCATAGTTTGGTGGTGGGGTGGCGTGGGGCCAAGGTGGTTTAGCCCGTAAATGGAGGGCCCCGAGCCTGGCATGGGTTCCACGTAGCTGCCACCCCCCACGTAGACTGGACTGGCCTGCATGTTGGTGGGAGTCCCGTAGCCAGCGCTGTTGGCCTGTACGAGACCGTGGTGGGGATGGGGGTCACCATAGTCCGGATCTGGGGCGCCATACTTCTGCTGGGAGGGGCAGCCCTTCATGGGGACATTGGAATAGGCAGTGGACATGGAGTAAGACACTCCCTGGTGGGGCTTTCCAAAAGATGGTGGAGATGGGGCATCGTACCCGGCCCCTCCTCCCCCGCCTCCCCCTCCCATGGAGTGTATTGAGTTGAGGAAGCTGGCTGAAGACTGCATGGGCAGGGGCGGGGAGCCGGTGGGTGAGGGCCCTCCAGAGCTGGAGCTCAGGCCCTTGGACTTCTGGTCCTTCTTGTACTTCATACGCCGATTCTGGAACCAGATCTTGATCTGGCGTTCAGACAAGTTGAGCAGGTTGGCCATCTCCACACGCCGTGGCCGGCACAGGTACCGGTTGAAGTGGAACTCTTTCTCCAGCTCCACCAGCTGGGCGCTGGTGTACGCCGTACGAGCCCGCTTAGACGACGCCGACGACCCACTGGTAGGACTCTTCTCCCCGCTGCTCCCGCTCTCAGCTCCTCCTGAGGCTGAGGACACAAAATGTTGAACAGAGACACGGCAAGTGAGAAAAATAGAAGAAAAAATGTAGAGCATGTAGAGAAAAAAAACAAAGAAAAAAAAAAAAACATGAGGGCATAAAAAAACCCAGAAAAGGAAGAGTGTGAAAGTGGGAGAAAGGAACCAGAAAGGAGGAGCAAGAAACAGATAAAAAAGATGATGAAATAAAAAGTGAGAGAGCCAGAAAGGCAAAGAGAATAAAACATAATCAGGCTGCATGCTGGAGGAAACAGAAATCATTCAGGTTCTTAATAAAGCAGAGGGGGGTCCAGGCAGGCCGGCTGAATTATCCCTTGATATTAGTTGTCAACACTTCATAACAGTGGCAGTTATTAAGAGACCGAGGCCTTGGTGCTGGCCAAGGGCAGCTAAATTGCATCTTGGCTGGGAAGATAAACCCCCAACAGCAACAGCAGCTGCAGCAGCAGGACTATAAGCAGGAAGTGAAGTTGACATGCGCTGTCTTCAGTTGGCTCGCCAGCTAAAGTCAAACTTCCTATGTCATAATAACTATGACTTCTAATGCAGCTGGGAGGTGTTCAGAAACCTGCTCAGAGACACTTCAGCAGGAAGTTGGAGGATTATGTTGTGAAAAAGCTTCTATCACATCTTTAGGATTATTTTTCGATTTGATTCAACTGCTGTTTCTCTTAAATGTCCCATATTTTACACTTCTGTGTTTTATATATTAAATCCTGATATCCATAAGAAGACATATTTGTGGTTTTAAGTATCAAAAACCACCATTGAGCCAAGTGATCCTGAGTGGTCCAATAAAAATATAGCAGATTTCAGGTAAACACTCAGAGAAACCAAAGCCTGCCAGGTTGGATCGTGGGTCCGAGTGGGCGGGGCATTGCTTAGGGCGGTGACTGCTTTGTTGTGACATCACAAAGTTACAGAAGTCCTGACGGCTGGTTTTAAGGCTCAGTTTCTGAATACAGGCTGTGTGCATTTCTCTGTGGACTGAGGCTTTGATACTTTCACAGTATTTATATAGAACCTAGACCTGATCTATAATCAAACAACACATGGACAGAGACCTTTAGACTACATGGGACCTTTAAGTAAAACCTGCTACACTGGCTCTTTGTAAGACACTCTCCCTGAGTGCAAGTGATGAATGTAATTTTTTTAATGGTAATGTGTATGTTACTTTCAGCAGGAAGCTAATTGTTTTATCATAAGGCCATAGCAGCCAGGACTCTAGATGATTGTTGAGTAGACTAATATAACACAATTCAATTTAACAGCACCACAAACTACATCCTCTCTAAAAGTAGTTTAATCAAAAACTGAACGTTAGAACCTTCTTGGAAGGAGGATGTGTTAGATTTAGCTGGGTGTACCTAATAAACTGGAAACTGAGAGTATGTTTGAAGGTCGAACCCAAAGTTATTAATAATCCTTCATTTACACAAGAAGGAACTTGTGTGAGTGTGGAGAACTACGGCAAGTGCAGTGGGTCAAAGTTGAAGCAAGAAGCCGGAATCTAAACTGAGATGGATATCTAGTTAAGATTTAGTTCGTCTTTGTTTTCTTTTCCAAATAAATTTGACTAAACTGGCTGTTTACAAATGTTTACAACCTGAATGATCCCAGTTCCCAGCAGTTACATTTGCATATAACAGTGTCATAATGACAGAGCTATCAGACAGAACTATTTACATGACATTTAAGTTGTAGTAAGCTGTAGTGTTTTGTTAGTCCCTCCAGAGCGGTCATGCCTGATGTCACAAGATTAGGGCAGAGCGATATACAAAAGAAAAACATATTGTGATTATTTTGGCAGATATGACTCATAATTTCAGTTGGAATGGTTATTTTTGCATTTACATTTACAATGAAAAATAATTTTTAAAAAATGATGATAATGTGATTTTTGCACCTCCTGCAATTTGGATATTGCTCTTGGTTATATTGTGATTTTGATAATATTTGAATTAATTGTTCAGGCCTACTCAAGATTTTTCTTCAGGTGAAGGTTTCATGTCTTTGTTCATGTGTTCATACAGCACAGTTCAAAACAAGCACTGAGATCCTGTCCCTCTCTAATTCTCCGTTTCTCTCCGCGGTGGAAACAGTCGACTGTGGTGTTTACTTCTATGGTCAGAGAGAGAGCGAGGTGAGAGAGGTAGCCACTGTGTCATCTGTCTCACAGAACAGTGGCACTCTCTAAATGACTGTTTAAATTTCTCATCAATAAACAGTCTAATCTCCTCTCAGCGCTCTGCTCAGTCAACTGAGAGACTTTTGAAGACTCATATTCATTATGGCGGAGCAGATTCCTTTCTCATTGATAACTTCCAATTCAAATAATATACAGTAACATGTGTCAGTGACTGTTTTCTTTATCACGCATGCAGATGATATTCAAATTTATCATTTTTTCATTTCAAATATCTGCTTGTCATTCTCCCTCTCTCTGAAAATCTATTCATCTGTTATCGTACATGACATTTAAATTCATCCTGTTATTATCTTCCTTCTTGCAGTTGCTTCCCAAGGATGTGCAAAAAGGAGAGGAGGAGGAGGAGGAGGAGGAGGAGGCCAGGAGGACTAGGAAGGAGAGCAATGGGAAGTCATATCATAACCAGAGGGTGGAGAGCAAGAAAAGAAGGGAGGAGGTGCAGGGTGGAGGGGAGGATGTAAATGAAGGTGTACAGGCTATTGGCTGTAGGCCTCTGGCAGCTGGTTAGCCAGACTGTCTATAACTGGCGGTACTGTTGCTGTAATGAACTGCTCAGTTGTCACTGATGAGAAAGTCAGTGTAAAGACAAAATGCCATGGAGGTTTATTCCTCTATCACATCCAACTGTTTTAGGTCCATTCACTTCAGATCTGACACTGAATGCTCTATAAAAAATGTCTTGTGTTCCACCTGTCTCATCTGCTAGTACTGCACTGATCCTGTGATCACCTTGTTCCAATGACATTCAACATATAACCTTTCCCTTCTTCTACATTGGGACTTTTTTCACAATGAACAATAGCATATCCATCCGCCCAGCTCTTCTGTGCAGTGTCTTCCTTTTAGCACAACTTGCCAGATCTGGTCAGTGAGTTTAGTACAGGTCTGTACTGACGCAATTTTGCTGCACCTGGCAACCTCACTGTTACAACAGGGCTTGTGCACTCAGCGGTTGATCACCAAAGAGTAGTTCTCCCCCCAAAACCACAAATTGTTGTTTTTACATTTGTGCATGTGAACAGATGAATGTGCTTGTAAGTGTATTTTTTTCACCTCAGAGGCAACTGTTTCCCCCTGTTTCCTCTACGTCTTTATGCAACTGCCTCCTGACTCCATCTCTGCACTCAACTCACAGATGTAACAGTGGCATCCATCCAACCCTGTCTGCATTCGTATACTACAAAACAGTAACATTGTGGTGGCAACGTAATCGCTGGCTGGATTACTGGAGGCTATGTTTTCTTTTTCTTTTTGAATGAAGCACTACATTTATTAGCAGCAGGATCAAAGCTGCAGGACCGTCACACCAGAGACCAGGGTTCAGAACCACAGTCCCGACTGTTCAGGCAACAAAAGCACTTTGGTTCAGGTCAGGGGAAGATGGTGGTTTTAAATAAACAGGTTGTGTCTGAACTCAGTGTGAACTTTTACTTCATTAAACCAGACCAGGATCTTTCCCTATAACCTTAACCAAGTGCTGTGCGAGTCTGAACAGAGCCATAAGATTTAATGTGTTGGTGTAAAGCATTAACCTTATAATTATTATTATTACTTTTATTTATTATAATAAAAGAGTCAACATATTTGCGACTTCACAAATACATAAATTGACATTTTCTCTTTACGTTCTGATCACAATTACGTTTCCTTCAAAATGTAAAGTGCTGTTGCAAATGAGTTGCACATAAATCTAATTTCTATGAGACAGGCTTGATTCATCTAACACGAAAAACTTTCCTTTCCCTACAAGTATATGGTTTTTCTTTGCTCTTAACGATATAGATTTTCCTCCTGGTTTCACTTGTTTACTTTAGCACTCCTCCAGGTTTGCAGAAACATTTGTCACACTGCCATCCCTCTGCCCTTTGACCTCTTTTACGATTGGCTGCTTGACATAGCAAAGGTTTTTCAAGTCAGTTAAATGACTTTAATGAAAAGCAGAACTGATTCTTATTTTAGGCTCATCCTTTTCATCCTTAAATGCTCCAGTGAAGTCAGCTCTCCAGCAACATTAGTTCAATTAAAAACAATATCATTTGGGTAAAACCAGAACAGACTGAGCCACCAACCACAGCAAAATAATAACCAGCTCGACTGTTTGCCTGTGGTCACCTCCCTGTCTAATCCAGAGCCTGTGGAAACCTATTTTGCCATAATAGTCTGAAGAAACCTTTTTAAACCCTCTGGGGATTTGGGGCTTGAAAGAGGATGTTGATAAGAGAGGTGAGGAAAGAGGGTCTTGGTGATGGGAAGGAGAAGGCGGGATAATAGGAACAAAGACGCTAATGAGGAAGGAAAATGAAGGAGGAAAGAAATGGATGGAGGAGAGAATGAGCTGAGAAAAGGAGTAATGAGAGAGAGAAACACAGACTGGTGTAGGAGGAATAATTATTCGGCTAAGCCATGTTGCTGCTGTGGTACTGTGTGGAGGAAACCAAAGCAAAGACAGACAGAGAGACAGAGACAGAGACAGAGACAGGTGTAGTCTAACACACCGTTGCCAGAGTTGTTGCTCGGTGAACAGTTTTTCTGCTTGGTCGTCTGACGACACTCTTTCATCCAGGGGAAGATCTGCTTGGCCAAGGTCGGGTTGGGGGGCAGTGAGGAGGAGGAGGATGATGTGGAGGAGGAGGAATTAGATGACTTATTGGGGGCTGATTTAGAGGCTGAGGAGGCCCCATTACTGCCCCCTGGCTGCTGAGCCCCTGTACTACCGCTGCTGGGGTTGGGGGGCAGTGGGGGGGACACCTGGGAGCCGGGGTGGTGCTCAGGTGGCAGGCTGGGCCGCATGCAGCTGCCATTCAGCTCCTTGGTCTTGGCTAGCTGCTGCTGCTGCTGGTGGCCACTGTTACTGCCCAGCGACTGTAACGAGCAGGCAGAGCGCTGGTACGAATCCACATCCAGATGGGTCGCCGACTGGAAGGCCGGCTGGTGGTGGGACACTGGGACCGGGGCATCGTAGCCCCCAAAGCCGTTGGCGGCTGCTGCCGCTGCCGCCGCTGCCGCCCCCTGCACCTGGTACGACGAGTAGCCACCGAAAAGCGTCGAGGAGTTGTCGTAGTATGTTGTCTTCTGCATTTCTGAGGGAAGTGGCGGCGTCTGCTTGTGCTCCGGTCCTTGTTGAAAACCACTGCCGGAAGACCATTTGGTACCGGGGGTCACGTGACAGCGTCTCTCCAACGGTCCCCTGCAATCTGACCTGAAAGGTTAGGAGAGGCAGAATAAAGAAATAAGAGCGATAAATCCATCTTCCTTCAATGAAAGGCGCCATGACATGAATAGAAACCACGGCTTTTCTTTCCTCACCCCCCCTTACCCTCCCCCTCCCCTCTGAGCCCACTGCACAGCCTGCAGATGCTCTGGTGGTGGGGGCACGAAGAGGGCAAACTGTGTTCTAGTAATAATGTTAAATGTTTTTATTTATAAAGCAATGCAATATTTGTATTATTATTATTATTATTATTATTATTATTATCAATTAGTAGTAGTAGTAACATAGTAGACTATCTATTACTATTAATAGTGATAGGCTTTTAGTTGTAAAATAATTTGTTAGCTTACTTTTATTACGTTTTTCGCTAATTATTTATCATTTTTCAGCAATTAATCCCAGGTCAATTAAAATGAAATAAAGCATATTTTCAGAATTGTTTTAAGTATGACTATATTAGGTATTTTCACATTAATTCATGAAGTTTCATGTTTATTCATTTGAATGTATTTGTAATTAAGCACTAGCCCATCGTGTCAGGTGTTTTTCAAACCGGACGTGACACTCTTGTTGTGTAATGGCGGATGTGGCCTGAGTGTATATTTTCCCTGTGACTGATGTAGGTAACCTATTTCTGTCAACCTCTGCCTTCCACACAGCCTGTGATTTACTGTATTCCATCTGCTCTGCTGTTACCTCACTCATCCTCGAGCAGAGGAGTGTATGTCCGGAAGCCATCATTGCTGTTGAATATCAGGCTGTTCTTGCATCACAGTAGATTTTTAACAGCTCGGAGAAAACGAACGCATTATTATTACAACTGCACGTCAAGATATTTAAAACTTCTAAACGGGGTAACAAAGAAAAACGTAATGACAAGATGACATGTAGCTATAAATCAAATCTCTGTGTTGAAGACGGTGGTGTCCTAAATATTTCTAAAATATAATATTTTTGGATTTTTGCTCACGGGAGATCAGGGTTAAATTTAAAGCAGTAATTACTAATTTTCCTATTCCTATTCTGTTAAAAAAAAGGACTAAAAAATAATAACAATTGAACAAAACACTTGGGCTCAGACAGAAAATGCCAGTAATAGGCCAGATAAAGAAAGAAAGAAGCTCCATGAGTCAGTGATCCATTAGGGTCGTGCGGGCAGAGTGCTCTATCATGGCCCCTTAAGGGAAAAAAAGCAGTGTGAGCCTCCATAGACTCTCTATCTGACGCTCACCGCTGGGGTGGGCCTGTGGCCGCCAGAGGCCGGCTTGTCCAGCGCGAGAGAGCACCTGGCATTCATTCTCCTCCACACAGATAAAATGTTTAACGGGGAGAAGCAGAGGTGAAGCGGCTCCGCTGCCTCTGTCACACTGAGCCTGTGTGTGTGTGTGTGTGTGTTGTGTGTTGATGTGTTGTGTGTGTGTGTGTGTGTGTGTGTGCTGCTACAGCACCACAGCTAACTGCTGTTTGGCCTACTGGTACCAATTATCAGTTCCCTGGGTTCATTTGGCGACAACAGCCAACACAGATGTTATGTGGCCGTCAGTTCTATGTTTTAACGTCATAACACTGAAGCTACGTGCGCGTCTGTCGACAACAGTAAACAATAAAAACACAACAACAATGAAGAGTTAGCCACAACGCCTGCGAAATAATGTGATAGCGTTGGGCCTGAACTAGGAAACATAAACAGAAAAAATCTGAAATGATGGTTTGTAGCTATTTGTAGGATACGAAATTCGTGATTTGTAAATATGTGGTAGGCTACTTTAAAAAATGAATAAATAAAACCAGTAGCCTGGGTGATAGCCTACATTTCAAATAAATACATCAATAAGCAGCTAGTTAAAAGAGAAAAAAGAAGAAAGAATGCAAACCATAAAAATGGATATACCCTGCAAAAAGAAAGAAAGAAAGAAAAAAACGAATAAATAAATCCTGTGTCATCCTGCCAGTGTTTTTATAACAGGGTTAATTGCGCTAAAACAATGTAATTCCTACAATCTCTTTCCTTAATGTATTACTATTATTATTCCTTTTTTAGGATTAGACAGACCAGCCCTGCTCCAGCTCTCAGCACGTCACACATGTCAGCCATTTATCTTTCTGGTAGACAAGCTGGAATCCTAATTATTTACTCTGAGGAATAGTCCCAAGGAAGGAGAAGGAGAAGGAGAGAGAGAGAGAGAGAGAGAGAGAGAGAGAGAGAGAGAGGCCATGGCACTGAGTGTAGGAGGAATATGTTATTAAATCATATTGCTGTTTCGCCATTAAACAGGACACGTAATGTCTCTGCCACTAGGCTTGTAGGACTAGAGCTTAATACAATCACCAACTTTACTAGACGCCTCCCTGAATAATCCACTTATACTGACAGAGAAACAGCCACCCAAACAAAAACAACACACACACACACACACACACACACACACACACACACACACACACACACACACACACACACACACACAGAGGGAGTGAGAGAGGGAGAGAGAGAGGTCGGCCTTGGTGTCCAGTGTCTGTGCTTTATCCTGGGATATAAAATTACAAATGGCGCCTGCCATGAAGAGCTATGCAGGCATGGAGACAGAGAGGGAATGCATTAACTTGGACAATCCACATATTCCTTATCCCATTAACACACACGGGGTGGGGTGTGTGTGTGTGTGTGTGTGTGGGGGGGGGGGGGGGGGGGGTGTAATTATATTGAGCTGTGCCCAGAAACAATGAAGGATTGGCCTGATCAGAGCTATTGTTGCTCTGTTCATGGCCTCAATTTAGGCTGAAATCACTAAAACAGTGAATCCTGTATGGAAGCTATGAATGAAATTAGGCTACAGCACACAGCCTCTAAACATTTAGGTAAGAAATGAAATAAATGTCAGATATTGGCAAAATAACAAAACGGAGGCCCGTGGGGAAGGGAAACGTCCAGGGAGAAGTGGATCATCCATAAAAGAAAAATGCCATTGCTTTGTAAATAAATAGCTATAAGTGAGGAAGAGACATGGAGAAGAAATGAGAGGGGGAAAAAAGAAAGGAAGAGGACAGAGATGGAAGGCCGAGGGAAGGGGGGCTACTTGCGGCGGGTATCTGCGGCAGCTTAAAGCATTGTGAACTCTTCTTGAACCGGGATTGAAGTCTATTGGGCCATAAATCACTGAGCCAGCCACTCCGCCGTTCACAAACTGCACAGCGAACAAACACGCTCTGTATTTCTGGTTTGTTGTTTGAGCTCGTGCATTTAACGGCTGGCCTTGCTTGCCTGCCGGTGATTCTCCTTACCTTTCCTTTCCTTAGCACCGGTGGTCCCGGTCCAGTCCGGCACGGACCCAGCAGCACCGCATCACCAGATTAGTCCTCACCGCACATTCACCAGGTAATCAATAACAATAATAAATAATTAAATAAAAAACGAATCCGGTCGTTCTCTCTCTCCGTTTTCCTCCGCTGCTGCTTCTCCGGTGCTGTCTTGAGACCAGCACGACTGCTCGCAACTACCACCACAACAACACCTCCTGGAGCCAGCGGCAGCAGCAGCGGCGGCGGCAGCGGCAGAGAGGGCTGCGCGACGGTGGCGAACCGGACACCGTGTGGCATGAACGACCGGCAGATGAGGAGGGAAGGACGGACTCAAGTCGTTGGTGGGGGGCTCGATAAACACGGGCAGAATAAACACACGGGTTCGGTTTAGGCTACAGGCAGGCTAGCTAGCACACGAGCTGAACGAGCGTACCGGGAGCCTGCCTGCTGCCTGCTCGCCCCCCCCCACCCACCACCCAACCCCTCCACCTCCACCCTCCGCCCCAGCACCAGCACTGCCTGCACCGCTGCTGGCTGATAACAATGGCCTCAAATTTCTTTCTTTTTTAGCCTCTGTCGCTCAAGCAGCCACCCAGCCAGCCAGCCAGTCAGACAGCCTCTGAGGAACAGGTCCACCTCAAAATGTCACCCCATCGCATTTCTGGGTGGTTGTTCATCCGTCTGTTTTATCCCTCTTCTCCTTCTTCTTCTCTCTTCCCGGGTCTCCTGCTCCACTCCTTCCGCGTCCTCCCTCTCCGTCTTGGGTCTGAGTTCTCGCCTAGTCTTGGTCTCTGGCAGGCTGTAGGTGCCGGGCTTATTCCACACGGCTAGCAGCAGTAAGAGCTCGTAGTAGTAGGAGCTGTGGTGGTGGTAGCACAGTCAGTGTTCTCATTCTGTTGTTGACAACAAGCCCGGGTATCAGTAACGCTCACGGGGGTGTAACGGAGGAAACAACGGGGCTTGACTCGCGGATTTGTTGATTCCCCCATCAAAGAGCCCAGCGTCACTCACAAATTATGCTAATTTCACTGGCTGGAAGTGAAACATGCAGTCAGTTATGTTAGCCCCACAGCCAGGCACACAGCCTACTGTCCCAAAAATAACTATTTTAATTTTAATTTCACTTTTTTTTATAAGGCACTTCTGTTAGCTAAGCTACAACAAAGCCTACAACTCGCCAGGTGAAGTTCGGCATAACTTTTATACATTAGGTACAAAAACACTTTTGCTTTAAATTTGTGGAACTCTTTTGCCTTTACAATTTTCCGACTTCTCTTTTTTTCTAATAACTAGACGAGGCCTATATGCTACAATGCAACATAAATCTTATAGTAGGCCTAAATGTACAAGAGTAACTCTATTTGTAGGCTATGATATTATTGAGGGTGGGTCATGGTGGACTGAGATGCAGCCTTATGCGATTATTATTAGTAGTATTAGCTAGGCCTATAGTTTAATTTTACAACAGCTGTTCTTGTTTGCTCAGTCTGGTAGATTAGTTTAAGGTGGTATTTACTGAGCCGGGACGATGTAAATTAAAATTATTGGCACTAACATCAAACCAATT